CAGCAAGTCTTAAAATATAGGCTATTCGAGCAAGGACTTTTAACTGTTACCAGGAGAGGAAGCTGGCTGGTTTAAGCCGTCTAACTTGAATTAGCCTTATGTGCGGAATTGTTGTGCAAATGAGCCAGATAAGCACAATCTGCACATGCTCAGAAAAACAAAACTTTCCTTAGCCACACTGCGTATCGGCTAGGCGTACAGCAGCTAGGCCTAGCTTATCTTATTTTTGTTTGGTACGCACCACTGACTTAGGCTGTTTGTCATCACTTCAAGATGTCTACCGAAAAGACGTATTAAAATCCAAATATTGGCGTTTGTGAGCAATATATTTTAATTTTATATAGGTAAGTAGTAAATATATGAATAATTTTAATGCACTAGTTAGTTGATAACTTCATTCTAATTTGTTTTGGGTCTTTTTTCTGCATTTTTATAAGCGGTTAGACATGGCCTAGGCCGGGTCTAGGCTAGCCTAATCACATCAATTTAAAATCAAATTTGTAGACATACTTGCCTTATATCTCAACTTGCAGGTGATTTTATTGGTAGACTAGTTTGTTGTTAAGTGTGTAAGTATGACTGATTTGCATGTCAAGTGAAATTAGTACCCTTATTTTGCCTTGTTTTACCGTACCGTAATTCTCGGCTAGGCCTAGTGAAAGGGTATTTGATACACAGTTATGACACTATGCACTAATAAACGATAGCTTGACACTATATAAGCTTGATAATCCTTTATTTAACACAAAACAACCCTTTCTGTGGACGACCATACCTCCACCCCCTACTTCCGCCCCAACCTAACCACGAGGTACCCCAACCTTCCCATCATCCACCAATCTTCCCATCATACACCAATCCCTATGATGCATAACTAATGAGCACCGTTACACTAGCTGTACCCCTAGCCGATACGCAGTGTGGCCATGGTGTGGCCAAGGTAATTCAACAAAAGGACGCACATCTCCGCTCTCGAACATAGCGCGTGCGTACAGTCCTTTGATCTTTACTGTGGCATCGACAATCCGATACTAGTTGCGAGTACAGCCGTCAATTATTAGTCTATGCGTGCCATTCGTCTTATGGTGTTACGAATTTTATAAAATGTCATGTTCTTATGTAACATTAATCTGTCATTTTGACAATGTTGGCATAAGGTGCCGAGGACGAAAATTTGAGTATATACGGAACTTTTATTAATTTTTTCTGCGAAGTGAGTCTCATGAACGACAATTCACCACAAATTTGGTAAAATTAATGTTGAAATGAAGAATATATTTCAGTCTAATGTTAGTGCAAAATATCATTAAGCCTTTGTAATCACCGCACGACGCACGACGTGTAGGGACGCACGTGCGCCTAGAATGTCGATGCCAGAGTTATAACCTTTGATGTCCTGAGATGTGCGTCCTTTTGTTGAATTACCTTGGTGTGGCTAAGGAAAGTTTTGTTTTTCTGAGCATGCGCAGATTGTGCTTATCCGGCTCATTTGCATAACAATACCGCACATAAGGCTAATTCAAGTTAGACGGCTTAAACCAGCCAGCTTCCTATCCTGGTAACAGTTAAAAGTCCTTGATTCGAACGTACATAATATATTTATAGCATGCTGCTTGTTTGACTTCACCACTTTTTCTACACTCTCTGATTTCTTGTAACCAGTTAGACGGAATTATAAAATAATAATTAGTTATTGAAAACCGCCATATTTTAATAATACTGCGGGAATAACACTATTGAAAATAACACGTGTTCTCAATATCTGCTTTGAACGTCGAGATCATAAAAGATAATAGCGGCGGATTCAAGGGAAAATAAATAAATAAAACTAACAGTGCAATTTCTAGCAATCTGCTTGTAACTTCTGGGGGTTGCCCAAGGCACCTGCCTTTTTTAAAATTTGTTCATAAACGATATTTATTTTAATATACCTCTAGTTGCTATTTAATTGCTGACCATATTGTTTTGTTTAGACCTATATTTTGTTACAATGATGTTCTTTTATTGCATAATGATATCAATCGAAAATTGGGCTACTGATAATTCTTTGATTTTTAATATAAAGAAGCCGAAGATTATGCATATAATAACTAGAAAACGTAATTTTACTAAGCCTAGCCTAATTATTTTTTAAATGGTGATTTAATCATCTTGGAATCCATCACAGTAAATTGTCTTGGAATACTCAAGTTTATTATTTCTAGGGCAAACCGTAAGGTTGGTCTTATTTTTGCCATAGCTGGTGACTGATCAACAGAAGCACTTTCATGTCTTTATAAATCTCTTGTTTCACCCATTATTGATTATGGCCTGCCTGCATGGGGACCCCATTATGAAAATCAAAAACACCGAGTCTTTAAATAGGGGAAACCCACTGAGATCTAAAAAATGTACTATCAACAAACGTCAAAGATTAGTATTGTTAGTTCTAGCTATACCTAGACAGTGGCATAGTGTAGTTGATCTGGAGGGGTGCGATATTTGGCGTAACTAGGGAACAGTGAAATTACACTGTTCCCTGGCGTAACGAAGGGCCGAAGGCCCCGAGCCAGGCGCTGGTGGCAGGGAGCCGTGAAGGGCCCAGTGGGAATATGGGGGAAGGCCCCATCCGCTCCGGTGTTTGTAGCGTTTTGTGATGTATTTTGTCTTTCGGCACAATTAAGTTCTTGATACAGTATCGTGATTTGAAATTTGAAAAAAAAGAGTAATATTGTAATTAAGATAATACTTTGTTCGTAAATGTAACTTAATTTCTTGTTACACATTGTTTCATTTTTATTACGGTATATTGTATAAAACAAATTATTAAATAAAGTTTAAAACTTTCAATCAAACAAGACTAAAATGTTTTTG